TGGCGTCCAGGTATTGGTGCCGATAGTTTTACGGTCGGATAAAGTTTAGGTCGATCGATACGAAGCTGTGGCGAGAGGGGACCCTTCTCTTTTCTAACATCTTGGGTGCCAACCTCTGCATGCAACTGTCGCATGTGAGATTTTGGCCGAGCCGCCGATTTCAGTGGTACAAGCAGAAACTGGGATCCATCTACACACATGGCGATGAATGAATGGAGGGAAACTTGGCCGGCGTAGAGAGGCCGAACTACCCAATACATTCTCGACAGATGGATACCAAGTAGAGAACTTTACAACGTGTAGTTTTCAAAATTAAATGCAGTGACCATTATGGTGGATAAGGTCAGATTACGGGGTGTCTTCCTTAAAAGCATGTATGGGAGAAGTATCATGGGAAGTATAGTTAAAGGGGAGATAAGGAAGCAGATTTGTTGCTTTATTAGGACCTTGCTGTATATGTACACGTGGCGAAAAGCGAGAAAATAATTCATTCGCAAGAAAATATGAGTAATTTAGTAGGGGTGATCGGTTCCCGGTCCGGTCCGGTCCCATCCAAAAACCGGGAACCGGACCGAGAGGACCGGTTCCCAATTTTTGGGACCGTGGACCGGACCGACTAGTCTTGGAACCGGGGACCGGTTCAAATGAATCAAATACTTGTAAAAAAAAAATATATGTCCCATGTAGGCTTCCAAAAATATACATCCCCTAATTTAAACACGTGTTATTAGAGAGGCAAAAAAAAAAAAAGAGTAGAACCCCATATCAACAAAAGTTCAATACACACTTCTGCCATTGTGCAATACTATCCATTGGAAGTCAAAAATTACATTTATTTAAGTGTTGAAGTTCAACACTCAATCTGGCCATAGATGAAGTGCCGCGGCAAATTATAGTTTTCGGAACAAACTTTACCTGTGGGTGGCAACCTATGTCATCCTTAATTGTCATGAAAATCCCGTCCAAGATAGATAATGGCTTCCCTGCATCAGAAATGCCATTAATTTATCAAGCCTCCCCTGCACCATCTAATGGTAGTGCACTACACACCAAGCAAGAACCATACGTTGAAGGTGCAAAAACAACCATTTCAATGACTTAAGCTCATGTTCCAGTAGATTGCCCTACCTTCCTCCAACCTCTTTGTGGAAGCAGCAGCTTGAAGCCAGGCTGCTGATGTTCGTTTTCCAGAACTAGCAGGACGAGCATTAGATACCTTGTTTGTGTCGGATGCTTCTTCGAGGTTTTCTTCACTTTCATGTTCTAGTGAGTCCATTATTGGATTCATAGCATCATTGGATTGATCCACTTCCATTGACATGTAAATAGATCGCATAAATCAAGCAAAACATAGAAATGAGCCATCACACCAGAATAGCCATCAAATTCAGCCACCAAATTCAGCAAATTGAGTGAGAAAAACTTACTGATTATAGGAAATCGGGAAAGGACTGTTCGTTTGAGATTGAGGGTCAAGTGAGGTAATGATGAATCTCGTGAAATATACAAGATTTGTTCCTCGCTTTGTGATTGACAGACAATCTAAGAAGCTTAATATTTTGTTAGCCTACTTGAACAAACTCATCCAGAAAGAATTTCCCTGAAAATCACAGGTGGTTCAGACTCTTGAACGCATTAAAAGAGATGACCAAACTATGCATAAATCATCAGGAGCCCCCCACCACACAAATTAATTCCACGACAGATCAAGTCAGCTAGAAAGAAAGGTACAACACTAGAGAGAGAGAGAGAGAGCTCACCGACGTAATCTTCTAGGTTTAACGTCAAGTAAAAACCCTTGAAGGCCTTCAAAAATCCATCATCTTCCACCGTAGTCTCTTCACCTCCAACTTGTTCTCCATTAAGTAATCTGCCAAAAAACACAACAATTTGAAGACGATCATTTATACTTTGGAGGGACATAGAAATAACAAAAATGGAAGCTCACGTGTGACTGCATCATCATAGTCAATTTGGCGGAACTTTGAGGCGAGGCTGCGAGGCCTGAGGCGAGGCCGCGAGGCGGAAGGCGAGGCCCCGAGGCGGAAAGGGAGACCTAAGGCGAGGCCGCGAGAGGACGTCGAGCAAGGCGAGAGGCGAGGCTACAAGAGGAAAAGGCGATCGACGTCGAGCGACTCGCTCAAAGCAAGGTGTGAGGTGAGGCCGCGAGGCGTGAGGCGAGGCGTGAGGCGAGGCCGCGAGAGGACGTCGAGCGAGGCGAGAGGCGAGGCTACAAGAGGGAAAGGCGTCTGACGTCGAGTGACTCGCTCGGAGCAAGGGGTGAGGCGAGGCGGCAAAAGGGAAACTGGGAAGGCTTGGACGCGGGAAGGCTTGGCTTTGCTCAAGTTACTGTGGTTAGGGTTACCGAGAGGAAGAATTGGGAAAGTAAGTAGAAGGCAGAAAATTGGGAAAGTAAAGTAACTGTTTAGAAATTTTAAAAAAAAATAAAAAAGTCAACCCATTCGCAGCAGCTTGATGGCTCACAAAATTGGCAAATCAATAATAACAAATAAATTCCTTGAAAAGATAAAAAAATAACTAGCTAATTTTTAAAAAATACGCATAAATGATCGGTCCGGTCCTATCGGTTCGGTCGGTCCGGTTCTCACCATGGAACCGGGAACCGGACCGACCGTCCACCGGTTCCAAAAATGGGAACCGGGGACCGGACCAACACCCCCTAGGCCTGCCCAGAACCGACCGGTCCGGTCTGGTCCTGGTCCGGGTGGTTCCCGTTGCACACCCCTATAATTTAGGTGATGTATAGTTGATTTCCAAAAGATGACTACTTTTGTAATTTTAGTTACCTCCTGGATAAATTTTGGCCAGAGGAAAAAGACGTCGATGGTTTACTGTGCAATGTCGTCTGTGTACTTTTAATTTGTTTAATGTGATCCATGAATTATCAGTTAATGTTCAATTTGGTTCATAATCTATATAAAGATGTTCGACGTCATACTTCCCTTAATTTAAGCTAACGAAATATACCGATATGGCTTCTAATCAAGTTTGAACGGTGAAAAAAAAGAAGAAGTTATATGTAGATTATTCAAGTAAGATATTCATCTCATATCAAGTGGGATAATTGTCCAAAAAGTCCTACACCTATTGTAATGGTGCGTTTGGTAACCATTCTATTCCCGAAATACTCAGAAATGATTTTTTTTATTCTATTCCCGGAAACAATTTCTAAGCATTTGAAGGCGTTTGGCAACTGCTTAAAATTTCTATTTCTGAAATAGAAAAAGAACAAAAATGCGTTTCGTAACTGCACAAAATTTCTTTTTATTAATAATATTTTAAATTTTTTAATATTTCTTTCCTTTTTTTTTCCTTTTTTTTTTTCTTCTTCTCTTTCCTTGACCCATGGCCTGGTCGCCGGCACCGGCGATCGACCATAGGCCAGGGCCGGCGAGGGCAGCTCGCGGCCTGGGCGAGGGCCGCCCTCGCGGCCTGGGCGAGGATTTTTGTTCTTTTTTTTGTTCCAGGTAACAAAAAAATAAAATCAGGCCCTGTTTAGCCGGTTACCAAACAGGCCCTAAGACAACCAATTCAGTCCTAAACCGACACAATTTAGTCATAAACATTTTTGGTCAATTTAGTTGTAAACCTTTTACCTATTATTTAAATATGTCTCCAAAAGGACTATTTTAACAAATCGTTAAGAGATTTACGACTAAATTGACACAAATAAATGTTTAGTACTAAATTGGCACAATTAAAAGATTTATGATTAAATTTTCATAAATGAAATTTAGGATTAAATTGATTTCTGTACAATAGGTTTAGGACTTTTATGACCATTTTCCCCATATCAAGATATAATAGTCCCCGTTATCAAATAATAATAATGGATATGTTAACATGTTAATTTTTTTTAAATAGATGGATAAAAAGATAGACATGTTGACTCATCATTTTTTAAAATCCAACGTAGCATATAATAAATAAGCCATGTCATCAAATAATGCATGATTCATCGTTTGAGCAAACGGAAGGACCACATTAATTTGACTTCAGTAATGACCTTTTCACCTTCACTTGACAATTGACAATCAATCCGTCCTTCTAAAAACCTCACTCGCTCGACCCCCGCGTGTTCCCCCACCGCCCGCTTTCTTCCCCTTAAATGACACCCATCGAAAACCCTCTCTCTCTCTCTCTCTCTCTCTCTCTCTCTCTCTCTCTCTCTCTCTCTCTCTCTTATAAAACGTCAACGTCGACCGGCGTCCACGACAACGCCGGCTGACTAAAATTGATCGGATGGATTGAATTGACACAAATGCAAAAGGTTTAGAATTGAATTAAAAAAAAAAACTTTAAGACTGAATTAACATAATTGTAATAGATTTATAACTTTTTGGTAATTTTTCTTATGAAAAGTAAACCGGAAAATGAAATATAGCAAGGGTACTAGTAGGTGACCCAACCGAATTTTGGCAGAGTAATTGGGAAATTGGGATGTTGCACTCTGAAATTCTCTAATATAAACTTTTATATCGTAGACACATCGAATTATGTTTTCCCTATAATTATGTGATAACTTCCCTTTGTTTCATTAAACCGGCGCAGCTAAATAGTTTTTAGGTCCCCGAGATACTATTCGATGGAAACGACTTGTCTAAACCCGACTCAGGCCCAAGTCGGGTCTGGGTCTAGTGGATCGCGTCCATCCGAGCTGTTGTTCGCGTGGGCCTTGTGTGAACCCTATTCGAATGTCGTAAACAACGTGGTATCTTATATCTGCGAAAATTCTTACACGGACCCGGGTTCACACTGGATCGACTTCTTCAGAGCTGCCCATGCTGTGGATCCGTGGATCCCGTCCCGTCCAGTAGATCCAGGTCCGTGCAAGAAAACCACCGACCAGCCTGATTTCAGGGCTTTCTTGCCGACTTGCGTGCTATAATAAAGAGAATGAATGATAATGTAGATAGTAGATACACTCAGCACTGTTCAAGGTGAAGCGACTCCACTGCATGCACGAGCAAGTTAGCAACTAGGCCTAATGCATAAGGCAATTCTGCTGTATCACCAAGTTACAAGCTTGCAGCCATGCCCGAATTTCGGGGACAAGGTTTATTTTGGATTCCATCCACATGGTGCACAAAGAATATATCCTTACGAGAAGTATGATCTAGCTAAGGGCTGTGTGGAGCAGAAACAAAAAGGAAAAGGAGGTCACCAATACATTATGGTTTAAACAGAAAGATTCACAAGAACTAAACCGTTGCTCATCTTAGGCACGGATCAAGCTGCTTGAGTGGCGCCATCCTTGCAGTTGTCAAGATTCGATTCATTGACCGAAGGCGCCTTAATAAATGCCGATTGTCGAGAAGTTTCCCCAAGAAACTTCAGAGAGAGCGGTGAAGGTTCATTCTCAGCAAGACTTAGCTGAGACATTCCAACTATTTGGTTGATATTAATGGGTTCTTTTGACATTACCGGGATTGGCTTTAGCACACGGTGATGAGATGTCTCCGCCACCCTTCCATCTTCAGGAGGCGCCACGTTGGGCGGCCACATGGGAAAAGGTACTGGTAAATAGTATGGGAAGTAACAGGGGACAAGAGGTACTTGACCAGTTGGTTCCATCGCAGCATCACCGCACCCTTCAGACGTTTCTGGTTGCGAGGTCTCCATAGGCGTTCTTTCTAAATCGAGTCCGATACTCGTTGAAGCTGTTGAGTTAGTATTGTCGTTAAGTCTCACCAAAGGAGGCAGAAATGTTTCTTCTGGAAGCGAGGGTTGGTCAGCAGTAGCCTGACAAAAGCAACAGATGGATCTCATGGAACGTATTGGCAGAATAAAATTGCTATAACATTCAAATACTAAGAAATGCCTTCCTCTACGATAGCTTAAGCTTATAGGAACGCACAGTACTGTTTTCGCAAAGTCTCCAGGCCTCTTATCTATCTCCCCTATCTACCTCCCCATTCAGTATATTCAATTTCCCTGCTCAAGTGGTAAGCCAAATCTTAGCTTACATGCGATGAGTGTTATGCTATTTAAATGTTAAACCACGTCAACATTAATAATCTAAACATTAGATCTATTGGCAATGGATTTAATAATTTCTACGGTCATTACAAATGAATTGCCCAAAAGAGGTCCGTTCCCGTCCATTTTTTTCTTTTCTTTCTATATATTTTATAGAGAAAGTAATGATCAGGTCATAATTCATTGAAAGATGAAGTAATTCCTACTAGTATCATTTAATGTGTACGAAAGGTCTAAGGGGAATGACCTTCATCATGTAATCAGCACTAGAGCAAGGTTAAAACATACGTCAGCAGGAGCTAAGAATACATCTTAAAACGTGCACAAGCAGGATGTTTGAACGAAGTGCAATAAATGTGCAGAAGCAACATCATAGAGAAGACAAACCATATCTGGAGCCATGTCAAAAAGGCTGGAGCGCCTCTTTCTTCGGCCAGTATTACTCTGCCGGATATAGTACTTCTGGGCATGGCTTGCCACTTGAGTAGGAGTCCTTGTTGTCACAAAGTCACGAGCTATCCCTCGCCAGTCTCCTTTACCCAATTTATGAAGACCAATTAAAAACCGCCGATGCTCTTCCTCCGTCCATGGGTTACCTGGAATCAAATCCAATTGAACAATAAGTAACATCCACCGACTAAACGGAGGAGACGCCATATACTTCTAATATCAAATACTACATGCTCAGCATTATGCAGTATGTATAATGATGTCTACATAACAATCTAGAAGGCAATCATCTCAATACCCACCTCTGGGCAGTTAGAGTGCAGTCAAACATGGAATCCACTAAGCGAAAACCAAAACAAAAAAGATCATTAATCTGACACTGACAAAGATAACAGATAAAAAGATTTATGGACCCATGGCAACATATTGCCTATCCCGCGCAATACTTTATTGCTGATGTTGCTATCCTGTTGGAACGCTAACGACGTTGTATGATATACATGATATCAAAAGAAGAAACTTAACATGATTCAACTTCGAATGCAGAGATGAGATGGCTGCCTCCCACTTGGCAGGAGAAAACTTTGACGGAAGCATGCCAGCCAACTGATATAATTCCTCGCATCGAAATTACAAGACATGCAGTACCACCAATCTCGCAGAGCTAAGATCTAAGAACGAGAATTCACAACAGTGAAGCTCGTTCATTTGTTCAGTAGGCAATTCCTAATGACTTCATAAGGTTTTGATGCTCATTTATCGAGTTTGATCATTTGTACAGATCAGGTGCAGTAACTTATGAGCCACAGATGACTGAATCTCTTGTTTAGCAACCGAAAAAGGAAGAATCTCAGAACTTAAAAGACAAAATTCATGTCCGTCTTCTTATACCGCATCAATTGAGATCTCATTTCCCACAAAGTAACTGGGAAATAGAACATACAAGCAAATTAATGTAGGAGCCTTCCCTAACATCATCAAACTAGCCTTTTTCTTAAAGATAATCTCCAAAAGCCGGTAAGCTTTCCGAAATGTTAACTCATAACAGATGCCAAATACACGACATTTTGCTACTCGAGTCAAATTATTCTCATTAGCAATCCATTACAATGGTTGTAGTACCATTTAACACCTGCACATAAAGACTACAGCGTTTGAGATTAGAATTAACTGGCCACATGAAATTCTAACTGAGATTTTTCTTCATGAATTTGCTCTCGATCGCTTCGATTCGTCGAGAGCTGCAAAAGAATGATCTTTACATTTAAACTGGAAATCCAAAAGGCAGGGACCATCTCTGATATATCCTAGCCACTCATCACACGTATCAAGCTCCAAATTTCAACTAATTACGCACAGACTTCCAATCTGAACTCATCAGGAGGAAAAGAAGCGGCACAATCCGAAACAACCAGAAACGCACAATTCGACATCCCAAAGAATCAGGAGCCGCAAGCAATCAAAACATCCTCGATACCTTTCTTCCTCTCCACGCGCCTGTTGGAGGAGCGGGAGCCCGGCGCGGGATCGTCCGACAGGTAGCCGTCGCTCCCGTCGATCGGGGACGAGCCGGGGTTCGGCGACGCGGCGGCGGAGGACGAGGAGTGGTAGTGGGCGGCGGACAAGCACCCCACGCTCGCGCTCTTCTTCATGATCGAGCCGTCCGTCAGCCTAACCCCGAACAGCTTCACTCCGCCGCCGCCGCCGCCGCCGCCGCCGGAGGCCGCCGCGGCGACGGCGGCGGTGCTGGAGGAGGAGGAGGAGGGGGAGGCGTTGACGGCCGCGGCGGCGGCGGCCACGGCGTCTCCGGCGGCGGCGGTGGTGCGGACGGGGCAAGTCCTGGAGTTGTGGCCCTTGTTGCAGCAGTGGGAGCATCGCCGAGTCATGGCGACGAGTGTGTTGACTCGACCGAGTCGGGGTCCGAGTCGGGCGGTGGGCGGTGGGGCGTGGGGGTGGGGGTGGAGAGCGAGTTGCAGTGCGTCTTCGAGGAGATTTTTTATACGCGCGGAGGAGGATTGGGGGAGAGGGGTAAATCGGGGATTGCACAGCGGGGGGGAGAAAACGCGGGCGGTCGTTCGTGTAGAGTTTCGAAGAAGGAGGGTGTGGGGGAGGGAGGGGAGAAGATAAAAACACGTCCTCTGCTGCTTCTTCTTCTTCACGGAATTTGACCCCTCGGCTTTTTAATTTTTTACTGTTTTTTTCTTTTGGTTTCCTCATCCGTACAAATTTTGACAATTTTAACTTGAACCCCTTTTTGTTTTTTATTTTTTGGATCTCGTAAAAAATCATAAACTTTAACTTAAATCTCAGATCCAATCCCAACAGTTTGAAAATTTCATATCGCGAAAGCCAGAGTTGGAACCAGATTAAAAAGACGGTGCTTTTCATTTATGATGCATTTCACCCGTGCTTATCCCTTTCGGAAAATAGATTTGTATACTAAAACACCGTTTTCTTCGTGAAAAATGAATAATTTGAAAAAAAAAAAAAGACTTTCTAAAAAGCGATATCTTATGTCGCTTGAAATAATTAATCGATACGTGGATAATAAAAATGCTTTTTTATTCAATCATTCTTATAAGCGATAGAGAGATCGTTCTTAGGAAAATGAAAAATATTTTTCATTTCATTCATTTTCCACGAAATAAAGAGAACCCCGAAAAGCAATTTATTTTTTTCAAAATTTATAGGGCTTACGTGAAGATAATCCACGAAATCTTACGTGAAGATAATCCACGAAATCAAACTGTGTAACCAATGTGATAGAGTTCGACCAAAAAAAAAAAAAAAAACCAATGTGATAGAGATTAAAAAATTAAAATTTTCGCAAAATGGGCGCACGAAATCCTAAATGATTCAGTGATTACTCATGTCACGTCCACGCCGTCGCCGGAGCTATGGCTTCCGACGTGAGCCTAACCACCATAGAAAAGAAAGATTAAATATCTAATGCGATCCAAAACCAACAGTGGAAAATAATACTTTTGGACGCCTTTGTCAGCCCGACTTTTACTTGTTGTGTTCCGTACCTCGCCGTCGTCGGCCCAAAGTCAACGTGGATTTTTCTTCGCGGGGGGTGCGTGTCTAGAGTTGAAGGGGGGCGAGTCCGACGACGTTTTTATCTGGTCTGGCTTGCAATTTGGACTTCTCATTTGGTTTCACTTTCATCCACTTTGGACCGTGGATGGGATCATGGAATTCGCATCTGCAACTCTACAAGAACTAGAGTTATCTACAACCATCATTGAAGATGCCCAAATCTGATTGAGAATTTGGTTTGCCAAATTGGCAAATCCAATAAGGATTGTATTGTTCGCAGGGGGATTTATTGTAAAAGCGGAGTCTACATATAAACGAAAGGAGAAATTACCAAAAAAAAAAAAGTCTTAAAACTAGTGCACTTTGTGCTAATTAAGTCATAAACCTTTCAATTTAACAAATTTAGTCATAAACTTTTTGACGATCTGCCAATTCAAGTCCCATGTCGGATGGACGCTGCCCAAAATTTGACCGGATGGATCGAATTAACACAGTTATAATAAGTTTGACTTTTTTTTTGATAATTTTCCGGTGCTTTCGATCTACGGCATAAGATTTTGGTTTTTTTTTATCTCGGTGTCCACCTACAATTTTTTTCTAGCTTAAATTGGCTCTTTATCCATCCAAGTCCTGATAAACTTCGATACTTGACATACTTAACTTTTATAAGAAATGACACTTTACTACCTTGAACTTTCAAAGCTCAACAGAAACCGACTGCGATTTGTCTGGCGTTTGCCTTTGTTGCAACTTTTCTGGCCCCCAAAATAAGTCAAGAAACGACAGGGTGGTCCATCAAGCATACTCAATGCGAATAGCCTAAATAGCTTCCAGATTAGTCAAGCGTGATAGGATACATATGTGTCCCTCGCCCTCTAAATAAGTCAAGAAAAGGACCGAGCGTTCCATCAAAGAAAGAAGATGCGAATAAAACCCAATCGCTTAGATTAGTCAAACGTGACGATATGGAATCTCTCTCTCTCTCTCTCTCTCTCTCTCTCTCTCTGAGGCACAATCTTGCATTCTAATTGACTATATCAATGCAGATATTTCTACAATTGCAACATGCTTTTGTTTTTATGAGCTTTCTCCTTGCCACCCTTTTGTTTATTATATTGTCTTCACCAACTGGTAGCTGAATCTCCACAGATGATAAAGAGAGAACGAGGAGGAAGGACAAGGACACAACATATGAAACAAAACAACAGATGACAACAGCACAGTTGAAGAGAACTCCATGGTCTGAGACGTATACAGTACTTGCCCTCGTTTTACCGGTAGCTACGGTAGGTGGGGCTGTACATACAGCTCTCAGCGTACTTCACCAGGTCTTTCGGCTGAGGGAGGCGAGTAGCCAAGCCTGTTAAAGCATTTCATCCACAAAAGGAACATGAGAAAATGAGGGGACGTATACGTGCATATGCTCAATTGATGAATTCTAAAAATTTCAAAAAAATTTCTACTTTTCGACCCTATACCTTTACCCCTTTTTTTTTTTTTCTAATCAAGTCCATTATTTCTAATTTGTCTAGTCAACTCTTTCTACTTTCATAAATATTTTAACGGAGTCGCTCTGATACCAAATCCAACCAAAGTGTCGACCGTCGGACGACACCAAAGTATGCTGCAAATAAAATATACAGATGCCCAAGTGGATGTGCGTGGAAAAATAGAATATAGACAATTTTGACATATGATTTGGATAGAAAGTAGCCAATGTGGATGTCAAAATTTTATCCACGTCAAATTACGGCGTCATTCGACGGCCATGTTAGTTGGATTTGGAATTTTGGGACTTTGATTAGAAAATTCTAGAAAGTAGAAAGAGTTGATTAGACAAATTACAAATACAGGTACTTGTTAAAAAAAAGCATAAAGTAAAAGAGCAAACAATAAGATATTTCCAAAAATAAAGAACCTACCAAGCTCATAAGCTTTTGCCGCGACATCTGCAGCTATTTGGGCTGAAATCTTTCTTATGTCAGTAAAAGGCGGATATATGAGTCCCTTGTCAAAGTTTTCCCGAGTCACTTGTGCAGCCAGGGCTTCCGCTGTTCCAAAGAAGTATGCATAACGGCAAAAATAATCAGAAAAGGCAGACATGCAATTGACGCATTTGAATTAGCTTACATTCCCATGTCAAGAAAGTTATTGGTCCAATGTCAATAATGACGTGCATGCCGAGCTAAATGTTAGAATTTGTTTTTAACCCCAAAATGGTGCACTTACAGGCAGCCAAAAGCATCTCATTGTGAACACGGATTGCACCGGACATTATCAAGCCTAGACCAAGTCCTGGGAAAATGTATGCGTTATTGGCCTGGAACAGAAGATAATTAAAGTGAAGTCAGCCGTCAAGATTTCATTTACTCGCATCCAGAGTTGAGATATATGCTTTTAGTTAAAGACCTGGCCAGGCACAAGAGTCTTCCCCTTGTATTCAACAGGAGGAAATGGGCTCCCACTTGCAAATATAGCGCGGCCCTGCAAGAACAGAAATCACAGTAAACATTAAGCAAACCAACAAGGTAACGAGTATTTATATTTCGGGAAGAGGGAGATACAATTTTTAGCAAGACAGGACTTGCGTGATTATGTTACCTGACTCCATTTATAAGCTTCTTCTGCTGTACATTCAGATTGTGAAGTTGGGTTGGAAAGAGAAAGAATGATGGGTCTCTGCAAGTCCCAGACAAATCTAATTAAGCATCTTGTCCTTTAGAGGGTAGGTCAAGTGGACAGAAGTGATACATACGTCATTCAGAGCAGCCATAGCCTTGACCACATCTTCCGTAAATGTCCTTCCCACACCTGATGTTCCAATAAGCACCGTTGGTTTGATTACCTAAGACAATAAGAAAGCATTAGAATAAGAAACCTAGACAACAAAGAGAGACTTTAAGATCAGCCTGAGTTCATATATCCAGTGCCCGCATCATGCACATCAAAGCGGGCACATGAGAGAGAGAGAGAGAGAGCACCTTTACTGCATCCACAAGTTCATTAATAGGCTCATGTTCATGAGCCCAAGGCTTCTTGAAATGCTGGAGTGATTCCCAGCGCGAATTAACTATCAGACCCTGCAAAAGAACACGTGCAATGGTTTAGCAAAGGATGAATTATAACAACTAAAGCAGTCCAATTCACAAAGAAAACAGCACATTTTACTACCTTCGAATCGACTAGCCAAATTTTCTTACGAGCTTCCTCCACTGGAACATTTGTCTGCAAAAAACATCAGGTATATCTTCTTACATTTTGTATGTCATATCACAGTCCAGAATTTCTCAAAGTGAATACTCAAATAAATATTGAATGCTATGTTTTAACCTGTTTTGACACTTCGAGGGCCATAAGTTCAGCTATACCAGTGCCAGCCTGTAACAACCGCCAGTTACAGCAGAACTTCCTTATACCAGATATTATAGATACGCAAGCTAATGAAATAAGAAAGAGGAGCAACTTTGCCTTTGTATTCTTCCAATGACTCCAAGGCAGCAAAACCATAATACATAAATGCATACTATAGGACTTTATAAAGATACACGGAGCTACTTGAAAAGAAATCACGACAAAATTTGACAACGAACCTCCCCAGCACCAAGGAATAAAAAACGTTGATCTGCCAAGGTTCCACCGACAAACTTTAATGCTGCAATAAGCCCTGCAAGGACCACAGATGCTGTTCCCTGGAGCAAAGTAGTGGAAGGGTAAAAAGGGATATTTTGACTCACATTAAAAGTGTTCTGATTTTCACCTGAATATCATCATTGAAGACAAGATGAGTCGTCCCATACTTCTCAAGCAGCTCAAAAGCATTGTGGTTTGCAAAATCTTCGAACTGCACCAAAAATTATTTAAGGCACGAGGTATCTATAAGGATGTTAAAAAAATGATGACCAGCACAAAGTATAAAATGATAGTCAAACCTGAATGAGTACTTTCTCCCCATAAATCTGCTTGACTGCAGTCATAAATTCATGTAAAAGTTCAGCATATTCCTGAAAGAAGAACATGTGATTCAGATTTCTCCATCGCATAATGTGAGACTGCATGCAGCAAAAAAATGACAAGTCAAGTGCTAAAAGCAAATCAGACCTCCCCAGTTGCCCTCCTCCGTCTGAGTCCAATGTAGAACTCATCCTTCAGTAGGTTCTCATTATTAGTCCCCACATCAATAGTTACAGGCAAGCACTGTAAATGATAAGATGTACAGTTATTATATAAGTATCCAGAGAAAAAATGATTGGAGAAACATAACTACCATTACTCGAGTTACAGTCTTACAAACACAGTTTATCGTGAACAAGATAAAACATCTACAACCTTCAGATGAATGCTAGCAGTCTTTAAATATCCAATAGTTTTCATAGAACATTGGCAAATAGAGGCATAACAAAGAATTAAAATCAACACTATTAATTGCCATCTCATTCTAAATGAAAACTAACTGGAAAAATAAAATGTACATGTAACTTGGTTGCATCATTTTGCTGAAGTCAGAACTGCAAATGCCACACAATGGAAATTTCACTAAAGCCTGCTGTAGCAAGAGAGAGAAGGTAGAGAATGATAGAGTCTATCTAAAGAAAACAAAGCACCTAATGGAAGTTCAAGGACATTTGATGTAACAGGTTCTTGACTCGAGTATATTTCACAATCATATTGACACACAACCATAACTTACTGCAGAAGGACGGACTCCGCCAAGAGCAGTGTACAAGGAAAGCTTCCCTACTGGTATCCCCATTCCCTAGCAAAGAGACAATTCTAGAGACAGTTATCAATTGTGCCATGTGAGCATGCGTGCGGGCGTGCATGTGTCCTTGAGGTGCACGTGCGCACGTGTATGTGAAGGAGAGAGACAGTCACGGAAAATATATACTTGACAGCCAAGAAAATATATACTTGACAACCAAGATCTCCAAGTCCTAAGATCCGTTCACCATCCGTCACGACAATAACTTGAATGTTTCTCTGTGGCCAGTTCTTTAAGACCTCAAGAATCTTGCCCCTAAGATTTATTATTTGTGAGTACCATATATGCATCCAACACCAGATGATAACAAAGGAATGTCTGTTAGGAAAACAGAATACCACAATAGAGGAAGTACAGCAGACACAGAGACATACTTTTCTTTCAAACTGATAAAGAGACCCTGAGGTCGTCTGAAAATGCTCCCATATTTTTGGCAAGCTTCACCCACAGTTGGTGTGTAGACAACAGGAAGAAGCTCCTCAACATGGTCAATAAGAAGCTTGTAGAACAGCCTCTCACTTGTCTCCTGTGAAATGGATACTCCAAGAGTATGAAACTATGCAAGAAGTTGAGAAATGTGCAGCTTTTCATTTCGATAGAAAAGATAAGTTATACGTATAGCAAAATGCAAAAGTTGGCATTGCCGTAAAATCATAAAGCTATCAAGGCAGCACACTTGGTCTGCTCACGTGACTGAATAAGGCTGACAATTTTACAAAGCGCTAAAAAAGCATGATTCTCTAATTTTGAGATGAATGAGGATAAGCCATGTCTGCAGAAAAAGTATAAAAAGGAAGAAGAAGCACATCAAAGAAAAGAATTTCTGATGGCCAGTTCCATTGAGACGCTTGATCACGTACAAAGCGAGATATGAATATCACATAAACATGATCCTAAGTGGAAAACCTGGATGTCTTCAAGAATGAAGAAACATAAACTCACTTGAAGATCCATCATTGCCATGTACTTTTGCAGTGGGACTTGGTACTGGCGGAGGTTGTGCATTATCTTCTTCACCTGACGTTTTTGAGTCACAAAATAAATGTCATATGTGATAGACCCGAAATGAAAATGCACAAGAAGGGGGCATGAAAAAAGTTATTAAAAGTATTATCCGGTACGTAGATAACCTGAAGATCTTGAGAAACAACTATTGGGGGGAGAAGACCGCGTAAGTAGTGCGCATCTCTCTCTCTTTCAGAAAAGGCAAGTGCTTTGTTGTGGTGTGGATCTCGAAGCAAAGTATACCCACTGACAAAGAGGGGAAAATTGCTTATTAGAAACTAAAAGGCTAAGCAGTAGAGAAGCAAGCATATAAAAACTCATATTTATGCTTAAAGGACAATAGAATTTAGAAGAGAGCACGCCAAAAGACTGGGCTGAGTGGATCCCTTGCCCTGTTGTGCTCTATTAGGACGTCCTGATATTCATTATCTTTCTATATATCCCCATCTATATCTTTCAGATCTTTCTCTGTCCATCCAAAACCTGTATATCAGCATAGGTCACACCTTACCATCTGAACTTTTTTTAAGAACGTTTTTTCTCATGTCTAAATCACCTCAAACGAGCACCACTCAAATTCTCCTCAATCACAGCCACTCCAACTTCTCTCTAAACACTGTGTCTAACGCTGAATGAAGATAACATATGAATAGCAGCCTAATTCTTCTATGAAGTCAAATATACAGAAGACATGCATGCATCCAGAAAATGGAGAACACAGATGCTTTGGTACCGTATGATTAGTCCAAAAGATAATCTTCAAGAAGCAATTTAGGGTGCTTTGCACCACCGATTGTGTTAAATTTCGAAAACTGTTATGATAATTCTCCAAGTGTGGCAAATATAATTTCTTAATCTGTTTCTCGCTGGCCTATAAATCATTAACAGAATACTCAATTTTCCAGGACCATCAGCCACCACCGTTGTTTGTCGTCTCGAATTGGACAGCTCTGTAATATCTGTAATAACATTAACACCGGGTGCCATAAACAAAAGTACAAATCTTGCTTAGAAAATTCGTTGCTGGAGAAGTCAGAACGGAAGTGCCGTCAATCTCACAGCATCCACCATTTCGAAAAACGAAAAAAAAAGGGCAAAACGCATGAAAATAATTTCATTACATCCAAGAAAAAAGGACAATATTTTAAACGGATTTTGTTAGACACTAATTAACACATATTGAGCATGCTTAATAGAAAATATTTAAATATTTTCATAAAGTGCCACTGTGCCAGGGCCCTCAATCATACACTACTATGATCCCTTTTTCAATACTACCTAAACATGTCGGCGTCTATCTAAGGTAATTATCGCGTCGTAAATATAATCGGAGGAAAATACGAAACATTTTAATGCCTATAAACAGTAAAAAAAATTCAATAGCGAGAGAGCATCGGAACCATCGAAACCGGAAGACAACGAATCTAACCTGGCAACCGAGACGGCCCAAGGCGTGACGAGCTGGTCCTCGCTGGCCCTGTCTTCACCGTACACGTCGGGGCCGCCGCCGCCGACGCCGACGACGGACTTCGAGTCCAGCTCCACAACGGACGACGCCGACGACGACGAAGAAGAAGAGGAGGAGCCGTCTTCGCTCAATGCGCCGTCCACCACGGCGCGGCCGTTCCCGTCGCTCGCCGCTCGACACCGCCCGGTCGGCTTCGATCGCACTCGCACGAAGGCGACGGGGTTCCTCTGCGCCTCATCGGAGGTGCTACACGACTTGCAGATGCTCGAATTCTTCTGCCGTCACACACAGGTCAAAAGAAAAAACAGAAGCTGAGCGAACAAATCGACCAGGACAAGAACAACCCGATCGTCTCCGATCAGCTCACGCCAGCGAAATGGGAGACGGAAAAGACCGAGGTCGAGACGTCGATTCGGACGCACGCGAGGCTCGACAATGAGCAGAACATTTTGCTCTAGAGAGAGAGAGAGAGAGAAAACCGCGCGCGCGCGGGGGCTGAAGAGGATGATGAAGGAGAGCGAGACGAAAGTTGCGGAACGCGAACGATGCTTCAGGTGAAGTGAGGCTTACCAGAAAGCTGCTGCTTCCATTCAAGGAGATCATGGCGACAGGAAATGGCAATGGGGGAGTCCTGAATCTCTCTCTCTCTCTCTCTCAATTTCTCTCTCTACTGTTCGATGCCTTCGGTGTGGGAGAGAGAGAGAGAGAGAGGAAGAAGAAGAAGGACGAGAGCAGAGGAGGACGAAGGAGAGATAGAGAGAGAGTGAGCGTGTCCGTCTGAGGAAGCGAAGCTCGCTTTCTCTCTCTCTCTCTCTCTCTCTCTCTTTCTCCGTCCGAGATTCAGGTACGAATTTTGGTTTCCCTTTTTTAGGTACGGATTCTTTTCCTTTTCTTTCCCCCTTTTTTGGGTTTTCTTCAAAAATAATAAATAATACTTAACGTAATAAACGCCGTCCCACTTTTCTAATGCTATTTTCGCGACTTCGACGGGGAGAGAAAAAAAAAAACGGGGGAGAAAAATGAATCATGCAAAGCGGTGTTGATAAACGTTTGTAGAGACTTATATAAATACCGCCGCTTTAATGGAACTAAATACGATTTATGGAGAGAAAGAATAATATACAAATTAAGTAGAAAAGGGATATCGATAATTTAGTTCATTTGCTATTCCATTTTCTTTATATACACATTCATTTATTTTTACAGGGACAAGATAGGGATTTCCTACCCAAAATACGAGATAAAAATTCACTTCTACCCACCCCGGGTCATGCGTATTGCATGTGCCGATGGGAAATAGAACGAAAGGGTTGATGATTATTAAAAATAAATAAATAAAAAAATATTTAACGATGTGTACAATGTGCTGGCGCTACCTGTATTGTGAGATTATGGACCTTGAACACGGCGTCAAGGATTGTCCTTACCGGTCAATCTTAACATGAATTTGTCCCACCTATCTTCCTAACCTATATTATGGAAATCATATTGGTCCCAATCAATTACAAATTGGCCGAGCAAATTCCTGGTTCGCATCCCCGTCCGTATACGACCCCGCCCCAATTTTCATATCGATGATCACCCCGATTTCCATGCCCGGCTCGAGGAAATTTAAATGAGCTTTTTCACGGCTTGTTGCATTCGCCATAAAAACATATCTAAATACGAATTGAGGACTCGAATGGTGGTGCGTTGTTCCTAAGAATAGTCACACCTCGGTTTCAAGTCAAAACGAGAATTCGCATTACTCGTCATATGATAATTCGGCACTGATGGGATATTCATAATTCTTTGAGATAGTGTCGATATGCGATGACATTACAGAATTAGATGCAGATGAATCGATAAAACGACTCAAATGTCACGGAGAAGTGTTCGATGCGCAATTACACGATGTGATCGACTTTTAGTTAGGTAAGAGGAAGTAATTTTTTTTTTATAAATCCTGTTAATCGGGGCACCAATTGTCTTGTCCTTTTAATTAGATCGAGATGGGGTTTTAATGCTTGAATAATGCAAGAGACGAGACTTGTCGAAGAATTCTTACTAGACGAGAAAAGTCAATGAGTCGCTTTAATGGTCACTACACCCCCATCGAGAAAATGAAGCGGACTTATTACAAAAATATATAGTTTGGTTTATTTTGCGAAAAATAAATAATTTAGCTAATATATTTTTAAAATCGATCGCTCGTATCGCTTGAAATAATTAGACGGTAAAAAATATTTTCATTATCGATAACAATTTATGTTTAAATATTTTTGTGGACAATGAAAATATTTTTCGATCGATCATTTTTATAAATGATGTAAACGATTATTTTTATAAAAATGTTTTTTAGATTATTCGTTTTCCACGAAACAAATGGAGTCTTGGGTGCGTTCGTTTCATTGAAAACGAGCGATTTGGAAAACATTTTCCGATAAATAATTGCTTATGCCGTTCAGAAAAACTAGCCGACAGAAAATATCTTCATCATCGATAACAATTTATGCCTAACTATTTTCGTGGGCAATGAAAAAAAATTTCCATTCATTTATCATTGTAAACGATACCGGCGATTTTTTATCAGAAAATATTTTCCAAATCGCTCATTTTCCGCGAGACGAACGTATCCTTAGCATAGAGAAGGGAATCGACCTTACTTCATTAATTTTACATGCTAAACCCGTTCCACTTGTTTCTTAAAGAAGCATAGTTGCATCTGGTGAAGGTTTCATTTGGCAAAGGTGGTAGTTGGAGGAGCTTGGTCCAACTACCCAAAAAATGAACATATCATTCATCTTTTAAATGAGGCTCAAACATATCATTTTCTTTTGTCTTCCCGAGAAAGCGATCCGATTGAACTTATTCATTTGTTTTTTTTAGTACAATTTTCTTTTAGAGCAATTAAAGAAAAAAGAGAAAAGAAAAAGCAACCGGTAGGATCGGTTCGCATCGAGTACCGGGGTCGCCGTCCCGGGCGTCCCACATAGGGCATCGACTCGATCCATCTAAGCCCGAGTTATCACCGTTAGCGCCGTGCCGTCCCGACTAGACTCGGTAACACTATTTCCGCGGGGCCATTAAGCAAAAGAGCAACATGATCTATACGTTTCGACTGTACTTTTGTTCGGCCAAGTAGTGTCGAATCACGATTGGCAGACAGAAGAAGAAAGACAAGAGAAGATAGCAACCTGATGAATGCTTCCCCATTTTTTTTACCTACGCTACCTTCTTTGGAAGTTCAGGCGGGTGATGCAGAATGCGAAGAGGAGCGCGAAAAGCGCGGCAAAGACGACCAGAATTGCTGAAGTTGGCCCCATGAAGTGGAGGTTGTAGCCGAAATGGTCCTCGAGGTACTGCTTGATGCTCGGATCCGGAGACGTCCCGGGCAATTTGATCGGGTCGTCCATGTCCCCGTACTGCGTCACGATCAGCGCGTACACCGTCCATGCCAAGGGACAGATGTAGTAGTACCACTTCCACCAGATGGGTATTTTCTGCAATCACCAAACGAGTAGTAGCTCGTCAGATTCTGTATTCTGCGCAGGAACTATGCCGGTAGTTGGAGATAGGAATTTGAGGCCTCACAGGTTTAGGTATGAAGAATCCCGAGAATAGAGTGAAGAAGCCGAAGAAAGCCGACGCGAAGATAGCTGCCGCTTGAAGGTTCGGGGTGAGCGCGACCGTCATCATGCCATAGTACGTGAAGTAGAGAAGGGAGATGAAGGTGATGAAGAAGAACCAGAAGAACTTGGCCGTAGTCCACTGGAAGCTCATCATGCCGTATATGATCACGGAGTAACATGCCGATTGAAGCAACACGTACGGGATTTCCACGATCACCTGTTCCGAACCCGCGAGCGAAAAGAAAATAGAGCGACTAATCCATAACCATTCCTTCTTGAGCATGAACCGTTAAAAGAGTAGAGTTCCTTATTGCTTTACCTGGGCCACTGCATACGGCAGAGCGGCATACATGCCGGCGGCTCTTTCTCGGTAGAACACGGACCTCTCTCTGGAAACTATCGGTTGAACGGTTGAGCAATTGTTAATCCCCACGAACAAGACGGAAACGTACATGGCTCCGATGACCGTGGTCAGATCATGAACCTCATCCCTAGTTAAAAGAATGTATGTGTTTTAGAATAACCATCTGATAAGCAGCAAGAGTTTTCAGTCAAGGAGATTCAATCAGAATGGTTCAGTTTTCTTGGAATTTTCAGGGGCAGCCGGGCTAAAGAAGTAGGACAAATTCGAAGGCTCTCGGGATGGAAAATACCATCACCTGGTTTTTCCGATTCGCCAGAAAATCGAACCGAGCACAAGCGCGACCAACAAGGTGAATAGGATTCGTACAAGGTTGTAGTCGGGGCTCCTCCAGTAGATCCACCATTGCTTCCACAAGCAAGATTTGAATTGCCCCCACGTCGACTGCGAGTACTGGTTGGGAAAGTACAAGTCGCTCGCACCTGCCGGCGGCGTGCGCAGCTCATCCACGAGATCCTTATTTTGCCTTTTACATGTATGAAATGCAGTTCAGCTAAATGACCACCTCATTCCGACAAACAACTGTAGAAGCCTTTTTTAACATTTGAACCTTATCTTTTGCACTTACTTAGACAACGCTGATGATTTATAGTATTCGGCAAAGTCCATCTTGAGCTGGACCTCGTTCCCAACTGAGCTCACGTCCAGCATCCATCCCGCGGGATTCTGCTCCTCTCGTATTTTAGAGACTCCGGGGATTGCCTGCAAACAATCCACGTATTCCTAGAGTGAACCGTTCGGGTTTTCAATCGATGCTATAATAAAAAGTGGGGACAAGGAAAGGCGAGATGCACCTCGAAATACTCTACGAGCTTGCAGGAACGCGGACCAAGTGGTCCGGAGTAAATAACTTGCCCTCCTCTTTTCAGCAACAACAGCTGTCGCAAGACATCGCAAGCGTTATATTGGAAATAGCGAAATGTTTCCTAGAAGTGGGAAGGTTATTAAGAGGTCTACCTCATCAAATGCTTCGAATATATCGATGCTTGGCTGATGAATTGTGCACACGACGGTTCGTCCCGTGTCCACCGTGTTCCTCACGGTCCTCATGACAATGGCTGCTGCCCTGGCATCAAGACCCGAAGTCGGCTCGTCCATGAAAATGATCGAAGGGTTAGCAACGAGTTCTACTGCTATAGTCAACCTCTTTCTCTGTTCTGTCGACAACCCAGAGACCCCTGGAAGCCCAACTATGGCATTCTTGATACTACCAAGCTCAACGAGTTCCATCACTTCGTCGACGAAAATCTGGGGCACGTGCAGAATGTAAATTAACATCAAAATAAGCTTGAAAAAGACCGATAAGCCAATTACCCTGGCAACAGTCAAGGATTTCTTACCAACTTTGCCTCATCGTCTACTTCTTTAGGGAGTCTCAAGAAGGCCGAGTAGATTAAGGACTCTCTAATAGTGATCTGAGGGGAGTGAATATCCGTCTGCTCGCAATAGCCTGAAATTCTCGCAAACGTTTCTTGCTTCTTGGGGAACCCGGATATTCTTATATCACCTTCTATATAACCCCCAGTTTTCCTCCCCGCGAGAACGTCCATTAGTGTCGTCTTTCCAGCACCACTAACACCCATCAAAGCAGTTAGGACACCGGGCCTGAATGTTCCTGCCACTTCTCGGAGCAATTGGAGCTTGTTCTCGGTCACTCCGTGACTTCTTATTTCCTGTCCTCATACAGATGGTCTGCTCAGCTCCATGCAAGGGGAAAAGAACGGCTTGTCGACTTAAAATAGCACGAGAAATAGAAAGAATACCGGGGGCATGTCAACGTAGTAATTGACACAGTCGAAGGACATTGATAGAGGTCGAAATGGGAGTATCATTCCTCTCTTTGGGGCTGCGCCATCGGCCACCGGAATGGCAGGTCCACCAAGAAGATTGGACTTGCTATTTTGTCGAGTGGACATTTCCCCTGATTATTCAGATAGAAACTTTTTCTGTGTCAAAATTATGTAAAAAGCTAAAAACTCGAGATAACATAGCCATTTGCATTTTTCTGCTCATACTTTTGAGTAACTAGGAATCACGAAAAGTAAAAGGAATCGTGTACCCATGCTACTTCTCGTCGCTAATCCTCTTGCTTTACTTTGTTCTATTCCTGGGGAGACTTCCCCGTTTGATTGCTCGTCCTCATCAGAAACAACAGCTTGTGGCTTTCCAAAGGCTGCAATATGTGCATTCAGCTCAACTAGTCAGCATATATTGAACTGCTGCTGCAATATTGCATCCAAATATTCCGGGCATCACAGATTAACCACAGAAATTGCTAGAACTCACGGTTTAGATACTTAAGGGCAATGGTAAATAGGATATTGAAGAGGATAATGAATCCAAAAAGTGCTCCAGTTCCAATCCAAAACCAGTAGCTCTTGTAGTTGATGTCGAATACCTCCAACGCTGCCTCACCCAATTTACTGTTATCCGGTCCCTGCGGCAATATCAAGTAGTGCTGAGTTACTGACTTGTAGCACAATAACTTCAGACAGCGTCCAACCACTCCGTTAACCCGACACATGTTTCAGTGAGTTACCAATTTGTTCATCCACCTCGGAGCCCGCATCTCATTGATGGTCAGGGCTTTGAATGCATACGATAGAGGCGAGACCCAGTTAGCCCAAGACCACCATACTGGTATTTGGCCTGCACTTAGAAGCCTTATTGTGTTACTCTCTAAAATAAGCTGTTGCAAAAAGAGATAGATCCTCGACTCCGTATAATAAATTTTGCCTGCTTGCACTGTTCAAAATAATCTATCATAATAGTCATGGGAAGGTTCTTGAACAAAAACTCTTACGTTTTGGGAGAATGAAACCTCCAAGCAGGAACAGAAGGAGTAGAGCAAGAGAACCGCCGGTCTGGGCAATCATCATAGTCCTACAAGCACCAGCCAAGAACCGGAACAACCCAGCAGCCATTTGTTGGATCAAAAATACCACGAGCAGGTGTTTGAAAAACCTGGAAAACAGAAGAAAGAACCATAAATTCTTCCTAGCGAATAAAGTAGATTGAGCGCATAAAAGCATGCATGGTTTAGTACCTGCTAGCTCCCGGGTCATATCCAATGGGATAGTAAGTCATGAGTGTCCAGACTGTGGCTTCCCAAACTGAGATGGGCACACGAAGCAAGAAGTTCGGGACGGTGAACACCCACGCAGGATAAAATAGAAAATCCCTTTGCTTATAAAATACTGGAAGCCTCATAAGAGTGAGAGATAGCTCAACATTGCCATTGAACATATTGATAACCATGGCAAAAATAATTCCTCCGATGTAAACAGTCGCATCATCAAACGTCCTATGGAGCCTCGTTCTCAAGAAAACAGTCGCTGCCACAAACCCGACTATGATAATCTGAGAAGTCCTGAAAATGTAAACGCCCCTGGTTCTTTTGATCAGAAGCCATTCTCTATCGATAGATGCTTTTAGGAGAACCATTTTGGGAGTTGACTGTCGCGTAAAGGTCAGAGCACCTCTGTGGCTTTTGCTTTTGTCATAAGGAGTTCGGAGTTCCCTTTCTAGCCGCTGACCCACATGAAAGGCTTTAAACCTGTCAGAAAACTCTGCAACCGAAATGAATTGGTAGGGCTTGTTCTTATCTGCCCAAAATTGCTCTTGGTCCTTCTTGGATGTAACCTGTGATAATGCTATGGCAAGTGATTAAGCAGGGCTTTTTAACATTAACACCATCTACAATCGCTAGCGATTTCAGTGCCGGACTAGAAAGCTGATGTTTTGAAGCATTCCCAGATGCTCAAGAAATGTTTCAGGAATTGTTAAAGGATAACAGGTTTCTTCTGCTCTGATGATCAACCAAAAAAGCCATTTATTTTTATACAAAAAGTCCAGCAGATATACTTAGGTGCATAAATAATAGTTCAAGAAGCAAAACAGTGCTTCCCAAAAGGATCTAGTGAACAAAAGGTTAGACGTCTTCACCTCTTGCAGAAAGTCAGCGACACCCTTCCTCTCAGGACACTGAAATCCGCAGCTCTCGAAGAACTCCACTACATACTCCCGAGGACCCTGATAAATGATACGGCCTTCTGATAAGAGGATGATATCATCAAACAGCTCGAACGTCTCAGGATCTGGCTGGAGGAGGGACATGAATATGGTTGAATCGACTAAATGTGCGATCTGTTGCATGCACCTCACAATTTGAAATGTTGTTGAGCTATCCAGACCAGTGGATATCTCATCCATAAGAAGAGTTTTCGTTGGTCCCACCATCATCTCACCTGCATGATACGAGACGCAACATGTTTATGACAAATGATTGGGAAATGAAAATAGGCACTTGACATGTCAAAGATCCATCAGAAGTAAAATGAAAGATTGCGGTGGTCACTTGCATTGTAGTCACGTGTCTTAATAGTGCATCTATATGATCCATTTCATCAAGCCATTAGTTCCATCTGTATAGAATTTCAGAAAAACACATAGTACAGAACAGCTAATCGTTATGCAAAAAGATATCTTCCATTATTCGGAAACTCGACCGTGAATTTGTCGGCAATGTTGGGTTACCAGAATTAACCTGTTGTCACTCGCTTTTTCTGTCCACCTGAAACTCCTCGTTTCATTTCATCTCCAACGACGGTGTCCTTGCATATGTCAAGTCCTAGAAGCTGTTCCAGCAAACTATACATTGATCGGTAATTCAACAACTCAATGGCTTCATGGGGAGAGTATCAACCGCAACTCAATGGACGATTTACATTACTTTTTGATGGCTGTTCAAGAACTAACCTTGAGCGTATAATCGGTAATGAGATTTGTCTTGGATCCAACAGCAGTTGCCTGCATTTGGAAATAGAGTGCTGAAGGCACATATATGAATGAGTTTGTATGGCATGCACTAGTGTGTGACTGCGCGAGTTTAATCATTCGCACTAAATTCAAACATTAGTAGCATGTACCTTCATGAATAGATCAACATCGGACTCTGGGCGTATTCCGGCATCCTTCTCTCTTCTTGAGAGCTCAGCTAGTAAATCTAATATAGCAACAAAGAAACAGATCTAAGCTTCTTCAAGTGACTGGCAAGAAAAAGAACAGTCAGGAGTTAGACATTCTTAGAAGGTGATACCATAACGAGGACCGCTTCCTTGGAATCTCGCTGAATAATCAAATGTCTCCTTGACAGTAAGATCGCCCAAATGCACATCGTTTTGGCTGATGTATGCTGATGTCTTTTGCGGCACAAACTCCTTCAATCTATAGCCGTTGTATGAGACTTGTCCTTTCACCTGATGGACAGATATAAGAATCTAGGACCACTTCTGATGACTAGCTGAAAGTGCAACTAACTCAAAGTTTGCATTTAGTAGCTTAAAGACCAAGCTTAATATGCTCATGTCCAAATCATGTCCAAATAATCTTGAATTTATCCTTAGAGAGAGGAAAAAAGAAAGAGAAAATTAATTGGTGTATAGGTTTGAAATACAGCGTTATAACATACCTTTAGACTTGAGTCCAACTTTCCTGCTAGTGCCAACAATAGAGTTGTCTTCCCAGATGAAGGTGGTCCTAGAAGAAGAGTCATCCTGATCACATCAGAGAATAAGATAATAAAAGTTCATTGCCAGTTACGCCCTCTGTTTCGATCTTGATGCACATGAAATGCATCTGGTGACTGTCACAAAAGTCACTTCATTGAAGAAATAGAGCCAAAATGTGACCGACTAAATACATCAAAATGCATAACCCAATACTAAACCAAGTGATAGATTTATAAACAAGAAAGTTTTAAATAATCTAATCAAACCGATACCAAAGGTTCAACTTTCTCTGCTCAAACAGAACAAAATAAATAATTTCAAAGATACAACGAAACAAGCGAGAGAACACATAGTTGAAGTGCATCTACTCCAAAAGACTAATGGAAACATTTTAGATACATGTAGTATCACCTGGATGGCCTAATGATTCCGGAAACATCCTTAAGGATTGTCAATTTCACTTTCTTAGCAAGCTTAATACCAAACAGGCGAAGCGCTGATTCGACAACGTTACGCGCTTCGTTCAACAGTGTCGGAAGAGCTCTGGACCCGACATAGCAATCTGCTTCTACTCGTAATTGTTCAAATCTGACTTCTATTGTAGGGAGTTGAATCCCTACCCTGTAATTGAATTGACAGTGTGAAAATGCATCAAGTACAACTTCCGGGCAAAAACAATAAATATATCATCACCAAATGTAAATCTTGGAAAGTTATATAAAACCTATCGATGCGAGCTCTGAGCTTGGTCAAGAACTTGGCGTTATCTACATCGGCAACCTTGAAGTGCTTCTCGATGAACTCGTGCCTCTCCTCCTTGTTCAACTTCCGGACGTCAACCTCCTTTTGCGTTGTCTTGCCCATGCCCTGCTCGATGTCATCGACAGTGCCATCCTCCTCCGGGGTCGACTGCAGAATGCTCGTCCTCAGCCTCTTGTACGTGGGGAGCTTCTCTATTGCCGCCCATTGCAGCGCGTCCTCTTCGTCCCTCCTCGAACTCGACGTGCTGAAGAACTGATCGTCCTCCGGTCCCCAGTTATCCATTCCTTCCTCTGTCTTTTCCTGTGACTATTCTTGAACTTTCTTTCCCTCGTCTTGATCTCTATTTATGCAGACGCTTTCTGTTATCTGTTGAGAGAGATGGATTCTGTTAAGAACCTGGAGTAAGAATGGTTTTTATCAAGATAACCGTGAAGAAGATAGATGTGTAGTTTCAGGCTTAACATATCTAGATTGGCATGAACTTGAAAACTGCCAACTTTTTCTTGAGGAGAGAGAACTTCATGCCTGTTTTTGCATGGTAGCTTGGAGGGCAATTAATCCTGAGCATGCAAAGATGGTGAAACTCGAAAAATTACAAAGATCCTTTATTTTGTCCAGCGTCACTAAATAAAAAAAGTCGCTTTCTATAGTGACATTAGCAGTATGTCTCCATTTATTCATACATGTACGTATCAGAGGTGAGGTTTTTTCGAGATCTACTAGTGCCACTTGTGAAAGGCGATGTTCCATCGCTGCAGTCAACAGTTGGAGGGACAGAACGTACCTGGAATGCAGTTTGGGCACCACCATGACGGCCGGTCTCAGCCATCTGTCGTGGTGGTCGGGATATCCGGTGGCCACCACCCCATATGTTCTGTGCTCGGCGTTTTCGTATCTCTCTCTCTCTGAGGGTGATCTCTACAGAGATTTGGAGTAACTTTTATGAATGCTAGTGATCAAACAATTTTCTGGGAGGGGGTTTCAATCAAGAGTCATGGGCATTCAGCAGTTTGCTAATCCTGATCAATTGTGCATTTGGTTCCTATTTTGGCTCTCATCAAGACTTGTGCTCTGCTAGTGTCCACTTATACTGTGCTGATTCTAAGGCCTTTTGACCACGTTGTGACCTGAAAAATAGGATCTCCATCTTCACATCATTGATGGTGTAAAATTGGCCATCTTTCATTTCCATTTCCTTTTCCATCTCTCCGTTTCCTGTTTTTTTTCCTTTTTTATTTTCGTTTTTGCTGGCTGGTTTTCTTCATGCGAATCAAATGGCTCGCCTAGAAAGCAAATCTATGGTTTTTTTTTTTTTGGAATCTAGGGTTCACATGAGCAGATATTGAAAAGAGGATACCATTTAGGGCGCTCTTTAAAGATGCAATGGCATATATGAATCTTGGATTGCACGGACCTGCCACGAGACCTACACATTCGAGTGTCTGGGACGTACTGAATTCACATGCGCTGGATCGCACTGTAATGATTTCCCTCCTTGGTTTGGTTTGTTAGTACTCATTATACACAACCTTAAGGAATGTATTAGACGTAAATCAGGGCAAAATAAATGTGGAGTCTAGCATGAATCGATTGCCAGGAATAATGAAACTGTCGGAGGCAGATAAAAATTGCTCTGTACCTAAATGCTATAGCATTACATACACAAGTTGCATCTCAGAAACTTGGCTATATTGATCATCATCATCTACTATAAGTAGGAAAAGCACTGTTGTGCTGTCTCTTATATTTTGATCAACATTGATTAAAAAAAATCAACTTAAAACACTAATTACATCATATATTTTGGAACTCGGGAAAAAAATCTACATCAGTCTCTGCTTAGCTGGAGTTCTTTTGTCCCTACTGACCTCCATCTAACCTATCTCGTTTGGAAGTTTAGACTCTTTATGCAGTAGGCAAACAGAAGCGCGAAGAACGCCGCGAAACCTACCAAGACTCCGGCGACCGGCCCCATGAAACCAGGGTCGTACCCAAAGTGATGCTCTATGTACCACTTGATAGTCGGGTCAGGTGACATCCCAGGCACCCTGATGTGGTCTGTGACATCACCATACTGCGACACGATCAGACCATACACTGTCCATGCCACAGGGCAAATCCAGTAGTACCACAACCACCATTTGGGTATTCTCTGAAAGTTCCAACAGAGAATTGTGTTTGCATCAAGATTCAGGGCAAAACAATTTTATTTAAAACAAATTCATATTCTATGAGGGTCTAAAGGAATAACTTACTGGTTTCGGGATGAAGAATCCAGAGAATAGATTGAACAACGCATAGAAGGCTGCGGCGAAGATGGAGGCCACTTGGTGGTTGGGTGTGAGGGAGACGGTCATCATGCCATAGTATGTGAAGTAGAGGAAGGAGAAAAAGCTGACAAAGAAGAACCAGAAGAACTTCTCGACTGTCCATTGGAAGCTCACCATTGCATACACTATCAATGTGTAATACGTGGTTTGAACGAACACGTATGGTATTTCGCAGATAACCTACATTGACATATAAAGATAAAATTATGACCATAAGGATTAGAAATTCATCAAGCTAAAATTCTCCCTCTCCTCCCCGCCCCCACCCCCCCGCGACTATCCTGAGCTCATTGTAGGGCGGGGCAAACGATTGGACTTTTAGTAGTTGACACTAAAATGAGATCGAGAAACAGACAGTTGAAATGAATTATTTCCTCGTCACCTGTGCAAGGGCATAAGGCAGTGAGGAGTACATTCCGGCTGCTCTTTCTCGATAAAACACCGTCCTTTCGATGGCTACAACGGGCTGCACGGTAGCGCAGTTGTTGATTCCAACAAATAGCACAGCCGCATACATGGCTCCAATTACCATGGTAAGATCATTAGAATTTTCCCTGGAATGGTGGAATGAACGAAAGAACACCAAATCAATAGCAAGTTTGAAGCAAGAAGAGACCGACACAACTAGTACATGGAAATTTTGTGTCTTTTCCCCTCAAGCCCTCACCAACCTTTTAGTGCCGACCTTCCAAAAAATTGTTCCAACCATCAAGGCACAAGCCAAAGTGAAAAAGAACCTAACAAGATTGTACTCTGGACTTCTCCAGTAAGTCCACCATTGTTTCCATATGCATGATTTGAACTGTCCCCATGTGGACTGAGAATACTGGGTCGGGAAGTAGAGATCTTTGGCTCCCAGCGGAGGCGTGCTTAGTTCCTTCACTAAAGCCATGTTTCTCCTGCTCCAGGTCACACATTTTAGCTCAAGATCAAGAAGGTGACACCATTATCTTCATCAACACATGCTCTTGCTAGAATAACTTGACTTACTGATACAAGGATGAGGACTTGTAGTGTTTGGCAAATTCGATTTGGAATCGTACTTCTGCTGCTACCGAGCTCACTTCAAGCATCCATGTAGCCGGATTGTACTTCTCTTTAATTTTTGGGATCCCGGGTATATCCTGCATTTAGTTAACACGTGTAAATTGATGCTATCTAGGATTAGTTATCATCGTGTCCAAACAACTTTAAGAGTATTAGTCACCTCAAAGTATTCGATGATCTTGTGAGAATTCCGACCTAGGGGACCCAAGTAGATCACTTGTCCTCCTCTTTTCATCAGTAGAAGCTGATATAGAGCATTTTTGGTCAGCGTTGCGTCATCTAATGTACATGAGTGTAAGACATGTGAAGAGATTTCCTTTTTTTCAGTAACTACCTCATCGAAGGCTTCAAAGATGTCGATGCTCGGTTGGTGAATCGTACAAACGACCGTCCTGCCAGTGTCAACCGTGTTCCTCACTGTCCTCATGACAATGGCTGCAGCCCTTGCATCGAGGCCTGATGTAGGTTCGTCCATGAATATGATTGAAGGATTCGCGACAAGCTCCACTGCAATAGTCAGCCGTTTTCTCTGTTCAGTTGACAGGCCTGTAATTCCCGGAAGGCCTACTATGGCATCCTTAAGGTTGTCCAGCTCCACCAATTCCATCACCTCATCCACAAAAATCTGGAAAATTCAACACAAAAAAATATACATTTCTTGAGTTGAATTTTTACAAGCTCTTTCTCTGACTCTTGGATATAGAAAGCCAGATAAGTCTTTACCATCTTTTCTTCATTGCTGACTTCTTTTGGTAACCGGAGGAAAGCCGAGTAGATCAAAGATTCTTTCACAGTGACTTGAGGAGAGTGGATGTCATTCTGTTCGCAATACCCGGATATTCGAGCAAAGGTTTCTTGCTTCTTCCGGAATCCAGATATTCTAACGTCACCTTCGATGTAACCACCCGTCTTCCTTCCCGCTAAAACATCCATCAATGTCGTCTTTCCAGCTCCACTGACTCCCATCAGTGCCGTCAAGACTCCTGGCCTAAACGCACCCGTTACTTCTTGAAGAAGTTGGAGCTTGTCCTCTGTAACTCCTTGTTCTTTCATTTCCTATTTAACGCAAAGAAAGGATTAAAGTCTGAACATACTTCATTTTTGTAAATAAAAACATATATAGAGGCTTACAGGACATGGAAACTTACTGCCGGCATGTCTACAAAGTAGTTCACATTGTCAAAGGACATAGCCAGAGGAGTGAAAGGAAGAACCATTCCTCTCTTCGGAGTGACACCATTTGCCCCTTCAGGAGATGAATGATGCCTACTTAACTCATTAGTGTTCGGTGGTCTACTCGCTCTCTGAGTTCTCATTTCCCCTGAAAGATCCATTAGAGCCATGGTCATTTCAGCTATTTTAGTCCACTCTACAAGTTGTTAGTCTAGCTCTTCATGCTTGTTTACCCGTATTGCTTCCACTGAAGGTGTATAATGATCTAGTTTTCCGATCTTTATTGGAAGGGTATCGTCTCATTCTCGGTTCTTCCTCCGATCCTTCCTGTTGAACTTCCATCTCTTTCGCAGATTCATCAGATATTATAGCTTGTGGTTTCCCAGGAGCTATCACGTTCCAATAAAACAGAAGAGCTTTTAGAATTTGATACAAGGGAAGAAACTGCAGTTTATGTTAGTTACTCACGGTTTAGGTACATAAGGGCAAAGGTAAAGAGCACATTGAAGAGAACTGTGAACCCCAGAAGTGCAGCTGCTCCAATCCAGTACCAATTTTTCTCAGGAAAGATATCAAAGTTTTTGAGCACTGCAATGCCTAACCTCGTGAAATTGTCTGAGGCCTGAAATGCAAATTAAGTTCAAGTGATCCCCGTTTCTTGGATAGTTACAAGATCTACCTCGGTATTGCTCATTTCTGAGTCTAAGTACATGCTGTAGTCTATAAGGTGGAAAGGGAAGAAGATAACTATTACCAATTTATCCATCCATCTTGGAGCGAACATCTCATTCACAGTAATGGCATTGAAACCGTACGTCAGAGGAGAAACCCAGTAACCCCATGACCACCAGCTCGGTATTTGATCTGCCACATACATACAGAGCATTTTCATGTTCACAGTCCACTTTGTTTTGCAGCACATCGTTTCTCAATGAAATAATGAATGACAAGCTGACCTCGCGGAAGTATGAAACCGCCGAGCATGAACACCAAGAGGAGCATGAGAGCTCCACCTGTGTTGGCAATAATCATCGTCTTGCAGACTCCGGCTATAAATCTAAAGATTCCAGCGGCCATTTGTTGGATCAGGAATACCAACAACAGTTGCTTGAAAAACCTGCAAGTAGGAGAATGTTAGATGCCAGTTCAATTCACATTTCAAGACTCCCTACAAACAATCAGTTACGACTAAGACATTATAGAGTACCTTTAAATCTGTACGCTACATGAATTTCTGTACAGTAGGAACTTTAAACTGAATAGAAATAGGGACCGTTTTTTAGAAGTACCTGCTCGGTTCGGGTGCAAATCCAATGGAGTAGTACGTCATGACGATCCAAACAGTGGACTCCAAAATGGACACGGGAATCGTCAGCAGGAAATTGGGGAGGGTGAAAGTCCATGCAGGGTGAAGGAGAAGGTCTCTGTGCTTGTAGAACACTGGAAGCCTCATTATGGTCATCGAGAGCTCGGCAAAACCGTTGAACATATTGATGATCATGGAGAACAAGAGCGCGCCGACGTAGAGAGCACCGTCTTCTTCATTACGAGTGTGCATCCTGGTCCTTATGAACACCGTCGATCCGATGATCGCCACGAGGATGATCTGGACAGTCTTGAAGATGTAGAGGAACGCGTTCTTCCTGATAAGCAGCCACTCCTTGTCGAAGCAGGCCTTGAGGAGATCCATTTTGGGGACCGAGTACTTGGTGAAGACGAGGGCGGCTCGGTGGCTGAGGCTCTTGTCGAATGGGATGGAGAGCTCGTTGTCCAGCCTCATTCCCACATGGAAGTGCTTGAACTTCTCCGCGAACTGACTCACTGATATGTATCTGTATGGTTTGCTTCTGTCTGCCCAGTACTGCTCCTGATCCTTCCTTGATGTCACCTGCCAAAAAACCACAAAGATGAGTGATGTCATGCAATTATGCATGTCTTTTGTCCTCCTTGTAAGGGCTCAAGTGCCAGTAGTTTGTGATTACTCATACATTAATAATGCTAATGAATAGATTGTCAAAGTGATGCGGTGGATTTTTGTTCAATGCTCGACTTAGGAGTCAGTACCCTCTTAAAGTCCCCTACAGACTTTGTAAACTAGCCTTTGTATCTAACTTCAAAGTTCATACGTAAACCGTCAGTGAAGAGGTTATTCCACCGGCTAATCATTAGTGGAAGAGATATTTCCTACAGCATATCAAATGAACTTTTTTGATCACTACCTAATTGGAAAGTAAGGTTTTTCACGGACTACGCACGTCATGGTACTAACCTATATTGAGCAACCAAAACTAGCTCAAGAATCTGGGCCTTGCCCGAGCAATGATTTTTACTTTTTCAGCTCAACTCTAGATTCGACCCGACTCATTTAACCCTACATGCCCATTATTCAGGAACTGTGTATGACAAGTATATGTTTACCTCTTGCAAGAAATCAGCAGTCCCTTTCCTCTCTGGGCACCGGAACCCGCACCGCTCGAAGAATTCGAGGATATGGTCGCGGGGGCCCTGGTACACAATCTGGCCTTCCGATAAGAGGATGATGTCGTCAAACAGATCGAACGTCTCGGGAGCCGGCTGCAGCAGGGACATCAGTATCGTCGCATCCGTGAGGTGTGCGATCTGCTGCATGCACTTCACGATCTGGAACGTCGTGGAGCTGTCCAGGCCCGTTGATATCTCATCCATGAACAGCGTCTTCGTCGGCCCGACTATCATCTCTCCTGGTGGTGTAACACCACATATAATACTACAGTCAAAGTCCACTTCTGATCTTCCAACTTGTGATACGTCCATCTTAATTAAATCCTCTAACTTACTCAATTTGTATTTTGTACTAAGCCAAAAATCGCAATGATCTCGTACTCAGTCCTCGCAACAATGTGGACTGTCCGAATGTCCCCATGCATGACATGTTCTATGTGGAGGCTACTCCAGAAATCAAAATTAACCCTTCTAACTTCACATATAAATACGCGACATGCATCTAAAACAGTCTGCGGGATTCAAACCTAAGTGAAAAAAAGGCCACAAGATTCAAGGCGCATATCAAAGAATTTATCTTGTCTTGGTGAATGGAATGAACCTGTTGTCACTCTTTTCTTCTGCCCACCGGATATGCCTCTCTGCATTTCATCGCCAACGATTGTGTCCCGGCATATATCAAGCCCCAAAATCTGTTTTTTTTCCATCAATATGAACGTGTTATAATGAGACCCATGTTAATTATACATGCAAACAAAAGAACTGAGATCCTCACTAATCCTAAATAGTAGATTCAATTTATGCCATAAGATCATAGTACATTATCTAATTAAAGTATATAAGTACTCATGGTCATTTGTAAGTAAGAATTCGTCATCAATTCATCTTCTCTGCACTACAAGTTTCCCAACCTTTCGAAAAAGCTCTTCGCGAAACACACATAGAGTTTGATACCCGAGTAGTCGCTTCATGCGCTTATTAATAATGCTTTAGCCATATGCCTGCGTGAGTGCGATTTTTGCTAGTAGGTTGGTGATCTCCCAAATTGGAGGTGTCAAAGTCATCAAATCAGTACCTAATTTCCTAACGTGTGAAGGCGCTGAACTAAACTTGAGAGCTGACATAACAGTTACGAGGTTGGTAGTGGACACGGACATGCTCTTCGACTGAAAATTGTTCATCAGATGAGGCGTGAAGCATATCAAGCATGCATGGGCCCCAGAGTTCACCAATAAAAGTTGGACAACCGTCAACGTGGTAGGTGAGTTGAAAATGTTGACCAAAAAGAAAGAAACAAAATACATGTAAGGAAAGATTTTCCTGACTATGGGATTTAATGTTCTTTGTCGATATTAGCTCAACATGATTGATTTGGCTGAGAAGAGTGTGTAGGGCCACTCACTTTCAGCGTGTAGTCTGTAATGAGACTGCTCTCTACACCTTTCATTGCTGTTGCCTGGAGATCACAGAAAAGAAGAACAAAAATCCCATTATTTGAAATTGCATACTGAGAATTACATGTGACTAATTTGCGTGCCATTGATTAATTGAAAAGCACGCGATATCATCTAAATTGCAATGCGAATCATGTCGAGAGTATATAGGAAATGGTCACGCCATCTTCTTTCTTGCTTTCATTTTTCGACCGACCCATGTTTAATGAGGTATACGTGACTAATCCGAGAGAACAGTTCCCAAGATGTGTTTACCTTCATGAAGAGATCGACTTCAGGTTCAGGGAAGATCCCAGCATACTTCTCTCTTCTTGCAAGCTCACTAAGAAGTTCTGCAAAAATTTACACACAAATTTCAATCTTTTTCCTCTTTTTATTTTTTTGCCTAACGATGATGACCAGAAAATCATATTTGGTCGCGTTCTTAATCGAATTTTATTTACCGTATCGAGTCCCGACTCCTTGGCACCTAGCAGAGAAATCCAAGGTTTCTTTGACCGTCATTTCCCCAACATGAACATCGTTTTGGCTAATATATGCAGCTGTCTTTTGCGGTACAAACTCATTTAGCCTGTACCCGTTGTATGTAATATCTCCTTGAACCTGTGTTGAATCACCATGTAACATTAACTATATGCACAATTTAGATGGAAAACTATTCTTAATCTGACAGGGGCTCTGAGTAAAAAAAAATGCATTATAATTAATCAATTAATTACCTTCAAGCTTGGGTCCAACTTTCCCGCAAGGGCCAGAAGAAGGGTGGTCTTTCCTGAGGATGGTGGTCCTAATAGCAGAGCCATCCTAAAGACAACAATTAACAATTTACAGTACAAATTAATTTAAGCCGCTTCAATAATGTGTAACTAATTAAAGTTGGAAAAAGCTAATGAACTGCCATTTAAATGTTTCCAAGCTGATTACTTGGAGCATCTTCTCTGCAGAAAAATTTATGAGTTACCTAAGTTGTTGGCACATAATTAGAGAAGTTCAACCATCTATTTAAGCCATCCTAGTAGATGCCATTAACTATAGCCATCCTAGCTAATTCCCCTTTGATGTTTCTAATAAGAACATCAGCCATTTAAAAAATATTCATACATGTCAATCTTCTAAAATATTTGTAAGGCGTCAGTATTGATTCCCTAAATTTCAATCGTGCATATTGACATAAATGTCGATCTCCTGAAAATTGCATGTAGAAAAAGACGATCCTCCGCCGACACTAGACAGAATAAAAATCTCCTTGTCTCGACCATAGAAGGTCGAGGCTTCGAACCTCGAGGGTTTTATGATTCCGGAGACGTCTTTGAGGATGGTGAGCTGAGTTGTCTTGGCCCATCTAATCCCAAGCAAGCCGAGAGCAGACTCCGCAATGTTTTGGGCAGCATTTAGAAGAGTGGGAAGAGCTCTGCTTCCTATATGGCAATCTGCTTCCACCGTCAACTTCTCAAATCTAACTTCCACCGTCGGTAGTTTTATCCCAACCCTGCAAAAACACATAATCACCAACTAATTAGGACAAAAGGAACAACCACAAAAATCCAAATCGGGTGATGTATTTGCCCTTTCTCTGTTTGACCGGGATCTACCGCTTAATGCTTTTAATAACTGATGTTTTATCAAGCGACCAGGACCAGGTACACGTCAAAGATTGAAGAAAATAGTCTGCCTAAAGATGTTCTTTTTTCTTTCTTGGGATTTTATTTGTCAGTAGATTCATGAGGAAATGATAGAGGCTGACTTTCTCTTGCATTGTATACTTTGAAAATCGAAACTTTTCGTGTCCAACACGTAAACACGAATACGCCGGTGCATTGGCTAGCGTCTCCTTGATGTTGTAGTAAAACGAGAGACGGAGAGGTATCGGCGTACTTGTCAATCCGATGCCTGAACTTCCTCAGGAACCTCTCGTTGTCTTCCTCAGCCACCCTGAAGACCCTGTCTATGAACTTCTGCTTGTCGTCCATGTCGAGCTTCCTCAGGTCCACCGCTTTACTGTCCATCACCACCTTATTGTTCTCGTTGTTGTTGTCCGTGAACGACTGGATGATGCTCGTCCTCAAGCGATCGTACGTGGGCAGTCTCTCGATCGCGGCCCATTTCAGCGCCTCTTCGTCTTCGTTATTCGACCTGCCGGAGTCTCTGAACACGTCCTCCATGCTCCAACCACTCCTCCTGCTCGTGCTCTTGCTCATTACGCTCGCCGCCGCCCGGCCGTGCCCCGCGCTTTGCCTCCCGGACCGGCTTCTCTCTGTGCCGGCCATCTCTAAAGACTTCCTCATTCAAAAACACGAGGAAGTTGTCAGTAGAGCGATTCGCACCCCCTCAAACAAAAAGAACCAATTGAGAACGCGAACACAATGAAACTTGGTTTGTTGCCTGGGAGTTGCAGGTGAAATGGTCCTCTCATCAGTTGCAAAAAGGTAAACAAATCCGGTATATATTTCAAAAGTTGAACCTGTGTTGCCATTAATAAAAGGATGCAATCTTGGGGTATTAAATATCAGGGGTCGCAAGCAGTTTGAGTATTTGGATATGAGCTTAAAAGAGCAAATCGGTTTTTGCCCACATAACAACACAAATCTTTCTCGAATCTCTCTACTGCCAAATGCGAAAGAACAACAAGGTAAAAAATTAATACAGATTCGGCACCGTGTTCTTGAACCAGCCCCGTGTGGTTTCACAGCGTGCAAACACTTGCAAAAACGGTGTTAGCTCGTGGAGAGTAGTAATCAAGGGAGAAACTTACTTATGAATCACTCGGCTCCAGGCAGAGAGAAAGACAGAGACAGAGACAGAGACAGAGAGACAGAGAGACAGAGAGCCCTCAAAACATAATGACTAATGAGGATTGGTTCAGGTAAAGGTGCTCTCTGAGTTCCAATGCGAAAAGCCAGCTCTCTCGTGGAAGGGAGAGAGGCGGGGAGGAAGATTTATTGGTGACCAAATGGAGAAGGATGGAAGAGATTGGCTTCTGCTTCCTCCTCTCCAATGATCAATGGATAACCAGTTGTCTGTCTGTCTCTATGCTGCAGCTGTTGCTATTTCCACAGAGGGAGAAAGACAGAGAGAGAGAGAGAGAGAGGGAGAGGGAGTATTGGGAAGGGGCTAAGTCCGGCAGGAGAAGTTGTTAAAGAGTGTATTTATACACAAGCGCAGAGGAGCGGCTGCGTATGCATACATGCATCGAGTCAAACATTCTTCTCTTTTCTGTGGGGGTAATGGAAACGAGAGAGATCGAAATTTCTTTGCGCAGCATTGATGATCGATCCACTTTCGATTCAACTACGCCCGCGAGTTGGGATTCACCCGAGCTGAATGGATCTGATACACGTAGGGGGCTCACAACATGCAATGGCTATGAGGCGGTCCCGTTTGCGTAGACGTGGCAGTTCGTGTTTTCGGGTCGTGTTCATATCTCATCGAACGACATCGCATGGCAGGCCAGGCAGACAACCACCCCATCAACAAGAACTTGAGACTAAATATTCCCAATGTTTTCATAAAATTAATATACAAGTTATTATGATCCATCGACAGAATGTCATCAGATCAAATAAAACGTGTTCGTAGTCATCGAAATATCATCAATTTAAAATCTCAAAAGTGAATAACATGAAAAGAACGGTGCTACAGTTAGCTATTCCGGACGGGTCGAATAAATGCCATGTCGATAATTCTGGATTATTCAGGTCGATGTCATGGATGGCAGATTTGACACGTACACGGTAGAACTATTCACCTTGCCTCGCAGGTTGATGCCAAATTGACACGAACACGATCAGCCTCAACCCAAACCCACTTATTCCCTCTCGTGTTCGAGTCATGTTATCATGTCGTGTCGGAAATTGCCACATCTAATTTCACGCAAGATATCTCTCGATCTCCTTTTATCAATGATACAAAAAAATTCAATCGACAAAAACGAATCAAATCTAGTTTGTCCTGTTTATAAGTACTTGGTGCCGGGAGAATTGATCGATTAACGCATCTTGTCCTTGTTTCTTTGCTGCGAGTTACGATCGCTTCTACAAAACGACAATGAAGAAATGGTATGACCCATTCAAATTTCAAGCCCTTTTCATCGTTATATTCCCTTTCCATTCTATCTCTTCGTCCCGGCATATCAAACCCACCTACGTAGAGTCCTGAACTCTTCTGTACGTTCACCTTGATTACATCAGATCGATCTCACACTTTTCAATAAAGATATTTACGATAATTATCAAAAAGGTCATAATTTTATTGTACGGATATCAATTCAATCCTAAAATTTCAATGTAGCCAATTTAGTCTTAAATCGTATAGTCCTCCCGACTAATTTTAATCGAAAATCGTTGATGTGGATACCGGCCATCCTACATGGCACGACCGGATCATACGTAGACAATTTTTGCATTTCTTTTAAATTTTAATTTTAAAAAAGATAAAAACAATCATAATTTTTTTTTAAGAAATTGCAAAAATCGTCCGCGCCAGCTCCAGTAATGCCACGTAGGATGGCCGACGTCTGTGTAGGACCATGTTAGCAAATAGTTAAAAGGTTTACGACTCGATCAACTGGTCAAATTGAAAAATTTAGAATTGAATGGGCAATAGTACAATAATTTTAGGACTTTTATGATAATTATCCTAGATAGTTACACTCTCATTAAAAAAATCTATTTGATATCATTTTCTCGCACAATAAATTTTTTGATTGATATGCTTCGACTTGCAAGACACATTGAGTCGTGACGACAAACGTCTAGAGATGGCATAATTGTGACCCATACAGGGTGTGAGGGGCATTGTCATTTAGAGGAACACATCACTCGTACATCAGAATGACTCCCCAGACTGAAAACGTTGTTAGGAATCGAATGGATGGATCCCCAGAAGTGATCAATAAGCCAAACTGAGGATGTTAAGTGGCTTAATAGCCGTCGTACCTCTCTGTCTTTTGGAGAAGCGTACCGGCCCCCTTTTACAACGACGAGACATAGGAACGAATTCTGCCGCACAGCTAGATTGAGATCCTCTACTTTGCGCGGTATTTCGTTCGGTGCCTCAAATAAATCTTAAACATCGATGGAAGGCTCGCTTTTCATAAATCGATGGTTAAGATTTATCAAGATATTTAAAGGAGCACCGTGTGGAATAGAAAATCCGTGTCCAATAGTGCTAATTGCATTATCCGAATAAACTAGGGTGAATTGAGATACTTCGACAGTATGGTTGTATATTGCTTTTCAATTATTCTTATAATGATCTCTCTCTCTCTCTCGAATCTTAAAATAATTGCATAAATCGAGTCTATCGTGACGTGACTATGCCAACTGCAAAACCTTCTCACATGTAAAACTCTTTTACATAATGCACGAACACAGAGACCTGACTACTTGGAGATCCATGAAATACACCACAAGACCCATGAACCCGTTTCTAAGTCCAGATTTTCGGCTTATGTAAGTGGCCCTGAATCCCAAAATAGTTTGCACGTAGTCAGTGAGATTTGAAAATGCAACCTCCGGTTTTTCAAAGTCGGAAATCCTTTAACACCTTAACCAATCATGCCAACGCCTATGGTTTTCCTCACACGTATAAATGCTAAGCCAGCTACCAATTCTCACCACTTGAAAATCGGACAAGCATGCATATGCTAACACTTTCCTTGGTGACCCAACCTCACCCAAATCAAAAGGGTATTGGCTGAAGTGGGGGTTGGTAAAATGAACCACTGGTGATGCCAATGTCTCCGATCTTTGCCATGTTTAGGTCCACCAATTCTTACACTTCCATCGATTGCCATTGTCGCCACGGTCTTATCCATGGACAATGCGAAGTGGGTGCCCGTAAGCTGACGCACTTGCTTTGCTTTGCTTTGTTTGAACAGTGCTGTGTATCCCCACGTAGAAACTAGGTTATCTATCTCGGTTTTCTTGTTAATTAGAAGAATATAATTAGTGGAGTTAATGAATCTGTCCAGAACCCTGTTTAAATTAGGCTAGCTAGAAGACCTGCTTGCTTCGTTTTTTAAGAATTTCTTGACCTAACTTCGTAATTGTTTATAACCTTCCAAGGCCATGCTCATTGCCGACAGATAACCTGCTCGCTTCTTTCGTTTTCATTTGCTGCAATTATTATTCATTTCGTAGTCAATTTATAAGCAAATAGTGAGTCATTCTATATGCCTACCACGTGAATAAATTTCTCTCATCGCGTCTTTTTTTTTTCCCCGTTCGAGAGAAATTCAATGCTCGGTCCTATTATTAAGTTCACCTAACATTTCTTAGGCATTTTTTAAGAATATTTATATGTCTTTATCTTTCCGGTGGGAACCTAACACCTCTCCTCCGCATAGACAAACACATCGTCCAAGTGACTCCGTGAGATAGTCAATTTGGCACCCCTTAAATGGGGAACATGTCGTTTGTTCTGACATTGTGAAGTTTTAAGATATAAGTATAACATTAGCTTGTATACGTTCGATTCTGTATAGGATATGACAATGTAATGACAAGCAAATAGTGAGTCACTCCACATGTCTACCCTACGAATAAATTTCTCTCCTTGTGTGTTTTGTTTTTTTCCCCGTTTGAGAGAAATTCAATGCTCGGTTTTATTTTTTAAGTTCACCTAACATTTTAGGCATGTGTGCATGTGAATATATGTGTGCATGTGTCTTTATCTTTCCTGTGGGAGCCTAGCACCTCTCCTCCACAAGGACAAACACACCGTCCGAGTGACTCCATGCGATAGTCAATTTGGTACCCTTAAATGGGTACATCTCTTTTTGTTGCGACATTGTGAAGTTCTAAGATAAAAGAATAACATTAGCTTGTATACATTTGATTCTGTATAGGATAAGACTATGTAATCAAGAAGTTACTTGTTGATCTTTATAAATGATCTCCGAGTTTCCTTTCGGAAAAATTCAGCACATTTCCTTGTTGGACAGTTCTACTATTTCAATCTAAAAAATACAACTTTTTTTTCGTGCAGTAGAATCGTGAAAAATACTGGTAAGTGTCAAAAAAATCTTTTGGTAAAGAAAATTACCAGTCACCCGATTTCAAAGTAACTTGTTAGTAACAACAATTGAACGTTGGTAAGTATAACTCAAAAGAAAGTTGGCAACACAAAATTATATAGTAATTTAATTTGATAAAAATTGGTAAGTAAGTATCTCTAATTTAAGTTTATAATTTCGTAACATCAATAAGTTATGCAAATAAAAGTAGTAAGTTAGATGGTAATATGCAAACAATCCAAAAAAAGCTGGTAATTTCGTGAAAGTATTGGTAAGTTACCAGCAAATTACCCGGTCATTTTACTGTTCCAAACAATTTTTTGATACTTACCGAGGCTTATTGAAACTTACAAGAATAGAAATAAAAATTTGCATTGATGTTCACAAAATAATAGAATTCTAGCTCGGCAGCACCACGTCAGCATTATGCTAGGGAAACAATTATTGAGAAGTTCATTTCTCCAAAAATAAAAAATCCAAATTTACAGTAAATTAAAAGTGTTGTAAATATTGAGAAGTACTTTTAACGACTTGTGCTGCAGATTAACATGAAGACGACGTTTGGGGACCGTGGTAGGTGAGCCAAACATTGAAGGGGGTCATCGGTTTGAGTCGTGTGGGTCGTCTCTGTTGAAATTGGGATCGAAGCACTTCGCTTTCCACAACTTTGAAAAGTTGCGTTTCAACCCGATCATGTAATCAATTATGGGGCTTCTTCATTTATGGATTTTCTTTCATCACTGGCTAGAAAGATTCAACTCGGCTTCCTCTCGCCGTACCAAACGTAACGTCCCGGTCCAACGAGGGGGCAGCGAGTGATCACCAGGGCCGGAGAGGTCGAATGGGGAGCGGCTCCCGGCAGGCTTCTAGCATGGCGAAAAGGGCAGAAATGAA